CCCCCCGCAGTGAGGAAGCGGACCCCAGGGAAGGCAGGACAGAGCAGGGGCTGCCTGCCAAGGTGAGCACAGTCCTTCAGTCCAGCTGCCACCTAACTGCTCCCTTTCCCTCTCTTCTCCTCTGCTTCCCTCTCCAGACACACAGCAGGCTTGCAAAGGTGCCTTGCAGCTGATTTGTCTGGCCTCTGTACAGGGCCTGTATTCTTAGTGAGGTGTCATTCTACCAAGCAGTGACTGATATGTATATTGCTGAATAATTAGCATAGAGTATTTTTAAATTAAAGGCTACGATACCTATCTTTGATTAGGGGAAAATTCTGTACTCCTGGGGTAGAGAAGTGAAGGAAAGTCACGAAGTGAAGGGGGTGGGGGGTGCGGAATCAAGATATTTATGGTCCAAAAGTGGAATACAGAAAATTGGCCTAACATCGGAGGTTTGTATCTAAAACTTTAGCTCTTAAAAGTGTCACTATCTGTATTTTACAATGTTCATGATCCTTGGGCTACCATTCCTTATTTGACAATCTAACTTAGAAAATAATACTAAAACATTTAAAGGTTTTTAGTCTTAACTGTAATAGAAAAAAGCAAACGAGATGGGACTAGTAAATGCCAGCAGAATGGCTCAGTGAGCACGTTCATGGGACATCCCTCTGCCCGGTGGGTAAAAGGGGAGGGCGGATGCAGAGTGACGTGGATGGCCAGCTGGCTCACTGGGTATCTGAGGTCAGGATGGAAAGGTAGTGACCAGCTCAGAAGTTTGGATTTTTCAGGGGAAAGTTTCTTTCCCATCTGTTTCCACCAGATCCCGGCCACTCCTTCCACTGAGGACAGTGGTTTTGGGTGTCGAGTAGCTGTGCCCCCACTAGGGACAGACAGAGACACCTGGCAGGCCCAGACAGGAAGGGACAGAAAAGACATAGTGTTGCATAAGAAATGTCAGTGCAGAGTCTACAGACATCGAGAAGTGCGGAGGTTCTTGCTCCCACGAATCCTGACACGGACAGGATTCAAGGGATCTGTCTCCAGTGTCTTTCTGAATACCTGGGGAAGTTTCAGCATATGGGATGCTCCCATCTTACTGTTCACCCCATGTTAGGAAGAATTATTTTAATTTTTCAAAATATTTCAGAGATGTGTCCTACGAGAAACCAACATGGCTTCCCGCTATGAGAAAGAGTTCCTGGAGGTAGAAAAGATTGGGGTCGGGCAATTTGGGACAGTCTACAAGTGCATCAAGAGGCTGGACGGATGTGTCTATGCAATAAAACGCTCGATGGAACCTTTTGCAGGGTTATCAACTGAGTGAGTACCTTGGCAGCTGACTGGAAGTACAAATTTGGACTTGCAAACCTGTTGCTTGTCAAAATAATTTTAATAATCACACTGGCATGAAAAAACCATCTCTTTTCATATGCCACGTTTAAAAACAAAATCATGAACTTTGACACCAGAGTAAGCGAGGTTCAGCCATTCTGGTGGTGCAGCGGGTCAAAGCACTGAACTGTGAGGCTCTCCACAGCCACTGCAGTGCGAGTGCCATCCCCAGCCAGGAGCTGACCCACATGGCACGACAGACTTCTCCTGACCGCCCGCTGCTCCCCTCAGCAGTGTACTTCATGGATCTGCCTGTTCTGCTCCCCACTCTGTCTCTGGTGAAGCCTCTCGCCACCCCTGAGCCTCTGGCCTGTACCCCAGTTCTGTATGCACAAATAAATAAATCTTTAAAAAAAAAAAAACATTCTAATGTGGATCATCTTGAGCCATTGTTCTTTCTGCCTTTCTGCGACAGGAATCTGGCTTTGCATGAAGTTTACGCTCACGCCGTGCTTGGCCATCACCCCCACGTGGTACGCTACTACTCCGCGTGGGCAGAAGACGACCACATGATCATTCAGAATGAATACTGCAATGGTAAGTGTGCAGACCGGAGAGGGCCTCTAGGTCTCTGGACTATGACAGCTTGGCTCCCCTGTGTAGGCATGCCGGGACAGAGCCCTGACATGTCTGGACTGCGGTCCGGCATGGCAGCAGGGAGCTGGGGAATGAGCTGAATTGAAACAGAACTTCAAGTTCTTGCTACTCTGACTTTCATTCTTGCTGGTGTGTAGCTGACTCTCCCTTCACTATCTGTGGCGTAGAAAACTCCCACCCTAGTGGCTTGAATAGTGACTCATGCTTTTATGCTATGTATGCCACTGCCCTCTGACTTCAGGGAGGGGTGACAGAGGCCTACAGCCGCTTTGATTTCCAAGTGGAGTCCTGTGTTTGGGGGGTGCTTAGGCTTTCTGTTGCCTTTACCCCAGCGCTTAGTTGTATTCTCACCGAGGGCGGGTCTAGGACCGTGGGGCCACAGCTCAGTGACTCCAGCTCCATGATTCTGGGTCTGTTACCAGCACACACGCAGCACCAGGTGAAACTTTTTCTCTCTACTTCTACCACTAAAAGTGGTCGTTTGGTTCCACATGTCTCTAAAGGTGATAAGGGGCTGACCTAACAGCAGCAAATCACACATGTGACACTTTTCATCCAAATGTTCAATAGAAACGGGCCCTCATGTGGAGCAGCAGCCTGCCTCGTCCAACAGCAAGCCACCGCCATGGCTGTGCTGGGGGCTTTGAGAGGCCAGTCTGCCTCTGAGTAGTGCCGGTAACCCCAGACAGCCCTGGGCAAATATGTCCAGCCTGATGTTTCATCACGCACATGCGGCGAAGCTTGCGTGGGGGTGGGGGCCGGCGGCGTGGTGGGGGATGGGGCGTGGATAGAGCAGTGTGCAGGTGGGTGGGGGCCGGCGGCGTGGTGGGGGGCTGGGGACAGCCCCCTGGACACCTGTCCGGTCATGACCCTGAGCTCCCTGTCTGCTCACTGCTGGTTTCTTCACACCCTTGCTGGAAAACGGGTGGATTTTCTCTAATAGGTTCACCCAAGCCCCTCCTTCTAAGATTCCCTCTGGAAAAAGTGGACCCTCTCCTCATACTTGTGCTGGAGAAGTTGAGACTTTTCAATGATCTTTTCTTCTCTCCTGATTCTCTCGGCTGCAACCTAAGGTTCCCGCCCTTACTCTCCCTCTCTCAGATTGTATTTGCATGAGTCACTATTCAAGCCACTAGGGTGGAAGTTTTCTACGCCACAGATAGTGAAGGGAGAGTCAGCTACACACCAGCAAGAATGAAGTTAATATTAAGTAACCCAACTAATCAACAGTACAAAGCAAAACTGATTTTAACCTGATTTGGGGACAATGTAAATATTTAAAATTTTCGAAGAGAAGATGGAGAGGTCCTATTACAAATCACCTTCTAATTCTTTTCAACCTGTGAATATCTCCCATCAGCTTGGCACTAAATGCTCCAGGATGAAAAATAGTGTCCAGAGAGACAAGGGAAGTCCTTGTCTGTAGCACCCACAAGCTGCACAGCCACCGGGGTGCCACCTAATCTCACCGAGCAAAGACAGAGTAGTGCTTACCGAAGGCAGCAATTTGGAAACTGACACAGGATCCAAGAACTGAATGACAAAGTAGCCGAACATTCTATGAAGGAGACTAGATGTGAACTGGACTGTGCAGAAGGAGTGAGGGGGGTCACTAGTGAGGGGAACCGCGTACGCACTCAGGCAGACGACACACCCCTTGGGGATGGTCTGACCCAGCAGAGCGTAGGGGACTCAAGGACTGAGGCAGTAGGAAGCAGGAGAAACGAGGAGCAAGATCCGGTGAGGTGTGGACACTGCACCGCGCCTTGCAGTCAGGACTCGGATCAGATGACTGACTGCCGACTGGTTTGCCCATCACAGCAGAACACTAATGCCACCGAGTACTTGCCAGTTACAATGGAAATTCACGTACAGTGAATTTTTTAAATATGAGCTGATAGTGAAAGTGAAACATGCCTGCTACCGGCTTCGTTGACAGTCGCGGATGATCCATGTTGAGATTCTGCCGAGGACAAGGGTCCGGACTATTTGCAGTAGCAGAATAGCCAGTGCCTCACTCTTCCGCCCCCTCCCTTGAGTCCCCTCTTCCTCTCAGCATGCCCATCTCCCCCAGTTGCCCTGTCCTGCCCTTAGCCCTGTCCACGTAGCCTGCCACGGCAGTCAGACCGGGCCATCGCAGGCGTGGCTTTACTTATTTTTTTTATAGACTTACTTTATGTCTTACTTTATGCTGGGGTGTAGGCTGGAGATGCAGGGAGCGGGAAGGGTGGGGGGTGAGACATTCCCCAGAGACAGAGTGGGGAACAGAACAGGCAGATCTACTGATCCGCTGCTGAGGGGCGCAGCGGGCGGGACAGGTCTGCTGCACCCTGTAGGTCCCCCCCTGGCCAGAGACTGAACTCGTGCTGCTGTCGATAGCCACCAGGGAGGCCTGGCTTTCACTGAACCATCCAGCAGATGAGCAGAGGCGCCTAGCAGCCGCCTCGCTGCGCCTCCTGAGCTCCCTGACAAGTCCGCTCTGAGTCAGCCCAGACAGCCGAGTAGTAGGTCGGCTCTGCAGTGCCCGGGCGGGAACCCATTCAGGGCTGGATGAGGCCCTCTGCTCCCCATTGCCAAGGCAGCATTTTCTTGTGATATTTTCCCTCTGGACAGAATGCGAGTCCCTAGGGAGGTGGTTCTCAGGGCGTGTCAGACAGCACCCAGAAGGCGCTGTGGAACGGCATGAATACTGGTTGTTTTCCATCAAATAACCAGAGACCGTGATGTCAGTGTGGTAGACGGGCTGAAAATCACCATAGTAGGAAAACAAAAGTCTCAGCAGGCACTCAGGTGAATTGTTGCTCTGCTATGTTTTGTTACTTGAAGGCATTTTCTGTTTTATTGGCTGTTAATCCTCACTAGGAAAAAAACCTTACATTTCCTTTCCTCTAGGTTTATTTTTTTCTGCCAAATGGGTTGAGTATCAGCCTTTTACCTTGATGAACCAGAGTTCATCTTACTAAGATGGCTAAGAGCTGCTGGGGGTGGCCTGGGTTAAGACATTAAGGCTTCTGGTACCCGGTGGAGAGCAGGGTTAAAGTTTACAGACAGTTCAGTATTTCAGTATCTGCACACTAATACTTTTATATGAACATTGCTCAATAAAGAACAGTTAATTATAAGAGGCAGATAGCTGGCTTTATCTGTAAAAAAATAAGGATATTCTAATACCTTTGCATAAAGGGACACTTTTCCGTTTTAACTTTCACCTTCCCTACAGAGTTTCTAACTAGTTAAAAGTTCTCTCAGCACAGATCTAGTAACCCTTACTAAATACCTGTTGCTCTTTAGGGGGTTGGCAATACCTGCTTAGAATCCAAAAGGACATATGAAAGAATTCCAAGGTCAGCCCAGGAGGCTGCTCTTTCCACACCTTTCATGGGGTCCCTGGCCCCATTTTCTCTCTGTTGCTGGGACAGACATTCAGTTCAGACCTACACAACTAGACCTTGATAAAGGGGTGATGAGTAAGAAGTGGGTCCAGGCTAGGGACACCCAGGCTAGCAGGGAATGAGTCCAGTGGACCTGGGGGGCGCCTTCCCTCGTCACCCCTCCTGCCCTCCCGTGCACACCTACTTTCCAGATGACTTGGTTTCTAACCAGCTCTGATACCCTCAGTACTTATCCTTCCTTTCCAACTAATAGCATCCCTGGTACATAAATTCTTTCCTAAGAAGATTCCCATAAAAAAAACAAAAAGAAATGTCAGCTCTCTCTGTGTTTCTGAAGGGGCTGAGTTCTTCTCCTTTCTCAACTTGAGCTTTAACATGACAGCACAACCTTTAAATTCAATTTTACACATGAAATCCATATTTTAAAATATCCTTGAAACACCATTACCATCTCAGAACCCAGGATTCCAATGCCTACTTGAAGGGTGGAGCCATGGGCTTTACACCTGCCAGGGCAACCTAGGATGCTCTAATTTGAATGCTAATGATTGAGAAAAAGGATTCAGAAGCATAGCTATTAGGATACCTTAGGACTGGGCAATCAAGGTCAGGTTTTCAGGTGAGACCAAGACTTAGTTTATTGGTAATGATGAAGAAACAAGATCTACAGTTGCTATGCAAATACCGTGGCTCAGCTAGAACAGAGGTGTACACTAAGGCCTCACATTTTCCTTGGGTCAGTTATTGTCAGCTGTTCTCATTTCATGATATATTTCTGATGGAGTTAAACTTAGACTCAATCACATTAAAATCACTAATGGCCTATGCTTATGAGCTTGACACTGACATGGGGTTCATTAGCAACACCAACAGGCACCACTGGGTTAGACTGGACCAGTCTTCTGGTTAATAATGTGGTCAAACTGAAGTATTAATTGGGGCTCACTCTAGGCAGCAGCTCAGACATTGGGGTTGCTTTGCACTGACACTGAAGTCATCTACACTTACTGGGCTGAAGTCATGCTTGAGAAGTTATAGAATATTTACTGTTTTCATCTATATGAGTCATACCTTTTCTCTCCTCCCATGGGACAATGCTTCTGTTGTTCCTCCCCAGGGGGAAGTTTGCAGGCCGCCATATCTGAAAACACGAAGACAGGCAATCACTTTCAAGAGCCGAAACTCAAGGACATCCTTCTGCAGACCTCGCTTGGGCTCAAGTACATCCACAGCTCTGGCATGGTGCACATGGACATCAAGCCTAGTGAGTAGGGCTCCCGTCTGCTGCGCCTGCCACATTCAGTGTCTCCCCTCAGCATCGTGCGTTTGTGTCTACCAAGCACCAAAGAGAACTGTTTGTTGGCAGAACTGCTTTTACTCATTTCCTTTAAAAATGTCAGCTAGGCCCTCCCTGGTGGCGCAGCGGGTTAAAGCACAGCACTAAGAAGCTAAAGCCGCTTCCGCATGAGTTCGATCCCCGCCTGCCCCGGAGGTGACCACATGGTGTGGCAGACCTCTCCTGACCCGCCTGCTGCTCCCCTCAGCAGTGTACTTCAACGATCTGCCTGTTCTGCTCCCCACTTTCTCTGGTGGATCCTCTCACCACCCCTGCACCTCTGGCCTGTACCCCAGTTCTCTATGAAGAAATAAATAAATCTTAAAAAACAACAAAAACATGTCAGCTAAAAGATGTTCACCCTTCTCACGGCCCCTCACAGCCGCCCCCCGCCCCCGGGTGGGGGCAGGGCATAGAGGGAGAAGATGCCTACCTAGCAAGGCCAATAGTGTACCTGAGAGATGACACATGAGCTACGTAACAACAGGGCTGTGGCCAGTGCTGGCTCTTCTTGATTCAACACTGGTCCACGCGAAGGAAGGTTCTGGCTCTCAGTAATGTGAATGCAGGAACTGTCAATATTGTTTTGTGTCTTCTGGCTTTTGTTTTGTTTTGATGCCACCAGCCTCTTAAGGTGATGAAATGTATAAAATCCGTTTCCTGTCAACAGATATTATCACTAACTTTTGAGAAGTGGTGTAAGAGATTCCCTGGAGAAAAGAACCTTGGGGAGTTTTGTTACCTTCACACAGAAGATGAGGGATGGAGGGAGGATGACATAATCAAATACAGAAAAGAATCTGGGGTGAAAAAGCTGGGGACTCGATGCATTAATTCTGTGTTTTGTTCAGGTAACATTTTCATTTGTCATAAGATGCAAAGTGATTCTTCTCCAGGCCCAGAAGAGAATGAAAATGAAGCTGACTGGTTTCTCTCTGCCGAGGTGATATATAAAATAGGTGAGTCTGTCTGATACCTGTAAGTACGCTATTATCACTTAAAATTCATGATAACCCCTGCTTACTAAATTTTTTTTTTCATTTTTTTTCAGGTGACTTGGGTCATGTGACATCAATAAGCAAACCCAAAGTGGAAGAGGGAGACAGTCGCTTTCTGGCTAATGAGATTCTGCAGGAGGTACCCACCAGGGAAGAGGAGGGTGTTTTATAATCCAGGGAGCCTTTTTGATTCTTGAAGATTCGCAGCATAAGCAAAGTATATTGTCCCTTTCCATATTTAGAATGGAGCAAAGATAGTTTTTCAAAAAAAGCATGAGGAAAGTGCACTTCATCCATCACTAATCAGTGTTCACACTGCTCTTTGTAAAAGTCCTTTACTATTGTTGTATCTCTCAGAAATCCAGGGCTCATGGATGTCCTGCGAGGAAGGAAGCTTTCATTGGTCCAAGCCTATCTTGGTCATTAGCCTTCTGCTGCACTGGCAGCTCTGGTCACTGAAAGCACTTCTAGTTGGGCCATTTCTAGCTGTCTCTGGAGTCAGGCCTAGGAAAGGCCACCCTCATCCAGGGTGGCCATCAGGAAAGACACGTTTTTCCTGTAGCTCAGCTTCTGCCGCAGGCATCTCTGAGCTGGACAGAGCAAAAAGGTGCCAAGATTCAGCCATAGTCTGCAGTCAGTCAGCTGGATTTGTGCTCCGTCTTCTCTGGAAAGCCTCACCAGCCGCAGCCGTGACCTCCGCTGTGTCTGTTAAGTGTGCAAATGCTCTCAAATGAACTTCGCTCACCCTCTGTGCTTTAAACTCCATCCACTCAGCAGACTAACTAACTGGCCTTTCTGTCTTCTCTTTTGAAGGATTACCAGCACCTTCCCAAAGCAGACATATTTGCTTTGGGATTAACAATTGCAGTGGCTGCTGGTGCAGGGTCGTTACCCCGCAATGGGGCTGCATGGCATGACATCCGAGGGGGTAACCTTCCCGACATCCCTCAGAAGCTCTCAGAAGAATTTTATCGTCTGCTCAAGGTGATATCTCAATGACACGAAGACTAGATAGACATGTCCGTTTTTACAAAGATGAAAGGGCAGGTTGGTGGGGAAAGGGAAGTGGAACTATTGGTACTGCCAGTAACAGAAGGCAAGAGGAACCCTGGGTAGGAAGCCCAGAAAAGTCACAGGGCAAATAGGATGTCTCAAAGCTCAGAGGCACTCATAATCCTTTTATGTTCCAGCTTAAAAATACTGTTCCAATTCTTCGTTTGCCCTTCCAGAGCAAGTCAGGCAATTGAGGGAGCCAAGACATAGTAATATTTTCACCGTTAGTAATTAGCCTCAAAAATCAACCTGGCCCTTTTGCTCCTGGCTCAGGGCTTGATCTGTTATCAGCGGGAAAAATGATGGTATTATTAAGAAATTGAATTTTGAATGTAAGGAAGAAAACATAAGCCACTTCACTGATCGATGATGGGCAAGGTCACCCTAGTGTGAGTTCATGGAAGGAAGGCCTAAAGTCAGCTCAGGAACCTGTGTTGCCGGCACTTGGTGATATCTGAGTATGTGCAGGGACAAGGAGAGGCAGGCCTTGACATTGAAAAAAGGCACCAAAAAATAGTGGCATCTTGGTAAACATTGTACAACATTGTTTTCCCCCAAACACTTCACAATAGTATTGTTGCAAAAATTCAGCTTGTACTAAGAAAACAATTATATGTAAGATTTGGCTTCAGAAACAGGATCAAGTAGGATTCCTAAAGTAGCCTTCGAAATATCTACTCTTTTTGGGGTGACTTCTCAGTGTCAGAGTTTACCTGAAAACCTCAAATTTAATGACTACTTTTCTTCACTTCTGCTTTCCTGAAAGATAGCAAATGCTTGCTCACTGCGGTCTTCTAGTCGTGACCTAATTGCCAACTTCCATGTGCACTTTGCTCTTAGATTTAGTTGCCAGTTAGTACCTAAATGCTGATCTTATACCAGGCAATACATATTTTGTTTAATTCTGAAAAGCAGCAAGAAGGTGAATATTGTTATCCCAAATATCAGCAAAGGAAAGTGAGTTTCAGCAGTCAGACTCTTTCAGAGTCTGTGAAAGAGACTGAGTCTGAATAGGTGTGGATTTTGATGGATGTCACATTAGGGGTTATTCTAGTTTTTCTTTTACAGCTTTATTGAGGTATAACTGACAACTGCGAGATATTTAGTGTATAGTGTCATGATCTGACTGAAGTATCCACTGTGAGATGACACCCCCACTGAATTAACTAATGCACTGTTACCTCTTTTTGGGGTGACAGCACTGAAGTTCCTCTGAGCAAATTCAGCTACACTCTACCGTGTTGGCGACTATAGTCACCATGTTGTACATTGGCTCCTCCCACCATATTCTGTTTGTAGCTGAAGCTTTGCACACTTGTAAACCTCTCGCTATTTCTTCTGACCTATCCCTAGCAACCACTTTTCTACTCTTTCTATGAATCCAGTTTAAAAAAATAAAGACTCCACATTTAAGTGACACCATGCAGCATCTGTTTTACTCTAGCTTACTTGGACTTCCTTCTTTTTAAAGCTAAATGATGTTTACATTTCTTTATCTAATCCTCCATCAGCAGACACTTAGGTTGTTTCTGCAGCTCTGCAACTGTGGGTAAGGCTGCTGTGAACACAGGAATATGGACATTTCTTTGAGGTGATGATTGTTTCCTTTGGTGATGTACCCAGAGTGCGCCTGCTGAACCAGCTGGCAGTTCTGTTGCAATGTCTAGGGGGTCCTCTGGTCTGTTTCCCATAGTGGCTGCTCTGGTTTACACGCTGGGCGACAGGGCACAAGGGCCCCTTTGTCCGCTTCCTCACCAGCATTTGTTCTATCTTGTCTTTGGGCATAATGCCCTAACAGGTGTGAAGTGATATCTTATCGTGGTTTTGATTGATATTTCCCTGATTGCTGATACTGAGTCTCATGTAGCTGTTGACCATTTTTGTGACTGCTTTGGAAAAACATGTCTATGAAGGTCCTTGCCAATTTTTTTTTGAGTTTTTGCTGTTGAGATGTACAAGTTCCTCAAATAGTTGGGGTATTAACCCTTACTGGATATGTGGATTGCAAATCTTTCCCCCATTCCCACGGTTTTCTCCTCATGTTGCTGACAGTAGAGAACCATCAACTTGTCAGTGACTCCAGCTGTCACTTTCTAGCTCAGGCTTCAGTTTCTTTCCATTTAAAAATAGGCATTCGATTAGTTGATCATCCAACTAGCTCTAAAAGGTGGCACTTAAAGTCACATCAAAGGTGTGGATGACGGGTGCTCCCAGAGGGGATGAGCCTCCTGTCGTAGGTGGAACTAAGTTTTCAGTTATTTCTTCCTTTTGCACAAAGGAGAGCAGAGTTTCATGCCATCCATCAGCAAAGCTGGGGTGGAGTTGGTTTGAGGGGGGAGATGCTCCCAGCAGTGAAGCCTCCAACATCTTCCCTTTGGTCCGCCCTCACCAGAACATGATCCACGCTGATCCAGAGGCCAGACCTTCTGCAGCGGCTCTGGCCAGAAGTCGAGCTCTCCGGCCCTTCTTGGGGAAGACGGAAGAGCTGCAACAGCAGCTTAACCTGGAGAAGTTCAAGACAGCCACCTTGGAAAGGTAGATTTCAGTTGCTGGAGTTGAGAGTTGAGAGAGACTCCACGTGTGTTTCACAGTGACAGGGCTGGCCTGGCTGTCTTCTCTTTGGGCTCCGCCCAGCTCAGCATCATGCGCAGGCCCCGCCTACACGTCTCCTAGCAGCAGGAGGTGCTGCTGGAGGCCTGTGCTTGACTGCTTGAGCGTGAAAGTTCAGTTACTGCGGAGGAAGCAAAGGGAGGGATTCAAGAAAATACACCTGCAAGAGAAAATGTGATAGGATTCTGAATGACAGCAGGTATTCAAGTAACGGGTAGATGATTGCCCAGTGCAATGTAACCATGATCCGGGTGGGAAGAGACCTCTCTTGACATCCATTCAATTTCAGTCAGGTAGATGTGCTGTCTTGGTATACGTTCAGAGAAGGAGTTTTCCAAGCCAAAGGAGCAGGCTGATCACTTAGTCACGTCAGCTTGTATTTATGCATGCATTCACCTGTTTATGCCTTCACTATACAAACAGGAATTAATGATATGCGGGGTTGGAAAAAGGTCAGGCAGTGGTGTTCGAGAGCAGTGCCAAGGGCATTTTTGAATGACTATTCCTGCTGAAAATAGAAAAGTGGCCCTCTTAAACAAGCCTAGGAGTATACCTTCTTTGGATTCACAATGCATCATGGACAAAGATAAGCTTGAAAAGTCTCCCAAATGATTTCGTGGCCATCAGGACTAGAGAATCTAAAGCCTTCAGTATGGTAACAGTTCAATGCTTGTTGTTCTAGTTTTGGATCTGATTTTCCCAGCAAATAAACAAGATACAAATACTTATAGTTGTGCTGCCATAGTAATAAAAGTCCCTTTAAGGAGTGTGCATTCTGCACAGCCAGCTGGGAGGTATAGGAGTCTGTCATCAGCATTACCAGCAATGAGGACCCATTGTAGAGATGGAGCAGGTTTTTACATTTTCTAGACCAGGGATGGTCAGCTTTTCTGTGAAGAGCTATATAATGAATAACTAGTGGTGTGTGGGCTATATGGTCTGTTATAATCGCTCAACTCTGCTGCAGTAATGCAGAAGCAGCTATAGACGACAACACGTGGATGAACAGGTAAGGCTGAGTTCCAGTAAGACTTAGTTTACGAAATTAGGTGGTGGTTGAGATCTGCTTTGTGTGCTGTGCTCTGTGAATCCCCACGGCTTTCATATGTGGTCTACAGAGTTGTTCTCTTATTATTTTTGAATTTTAAAGACCCATTCCCAATCAGCAGGTGTTAGAAAATGGAACGTGTCATGTGTTACAGTATGTGTGTGCAGCTCTATATTTTCAGACAGTCATGGGAGTGGAATTTTCTATTCTGTGTTTAGCTTGGGCTTGTCTCTATAAATACTGAAAAAGAAAAACTTGTTTATGTCTTTGTTGATCATAAATATCTATAATATATATATATATTTTTGTTTTTTGTTTTTTTAAAAGATTTATTTATGCATACAGAACTGAGGGGTACAGGCCAGAGGTGCAGGGGTGGCGAGAGGCTTCACCAGAGACAGAGTGGGGAGCAGAACAGGCAGAGTGACTGAAATACACTGCTGAGGGGAGCAGCGGGCGGGTCAGGAGAGGTCTGCCTCGCCATGTGGTCTCCTACAGGGCAGGCGGGAATCGAACTCATGCGGGAATCGAACTCATGCGGAAGTGGCTTTAGCTTCTCAGTGCTGTGCTTTAACCCGCTGCGCCACCAGGGAGGGCCATAAATATATATTTTTAAAGATTTATTTATTCATTCATACAGGGAGTGGGGAGTATTCATACAGGTAGAGGTGCGGGTGTGAGAGGACTCCCCAGAGACAGAGGGGGAGTGGAACAGGCAGCTCTACTGAAATGCACTGCTGAAGGGAGCAGCAGAGAGACAAGGGGAGGTCTGCTGTGCCCTGTGTGTCAATTCGTGCTGCAGTGGCTGCAGACAGCTGCATAGTGCTGCGCATTAACCCCTTGTGCCACCAGGGAGCACCCCTCTCCTCCCGCCCCGGGGCATAAATGTTTACTCTAATTTGGGCTTAGGTAACATGTTCTTCCCCTTTCATTGCCAGGGAACTGAGAGAAGTCCAGCTGGCCCAGTCCCCCAAGGAAGACTGGGACCCAGTCTCCGGGGCCCCCACAGGGTTAAGAAGCACCAAAAGACGCCTGGTGGGAAGAAAGACCTCGAAGTCCTCAAGCTTCACCTGTGGCCAGTCCTCCCCATAAGGACTCCTTTCAGACCAACCCACGCTTCCACCATCCCCATATCATAGCTTCCAGAAATGGATACTGACCATCTTCTTATAAAAGGAAAGATTAACAAACTTGAATGCCCAAAGCTTTAAAACAAAATCACTCCTAATGAGCATCCACAGCCGAGCCCCTCAGGCTGTATGATCTCCTATTAGCAATGGTCTCAAGTGCAATAACCAGCGGCCATTCTCTCTGCTGTCTACTTCAAATGCTGCTGTCACCCCCCAGAGAAGGGGGTTCCCCTCCCCTGCTCACTGGTGCACATGGAGAAGGGAAGAAGCGGTTGCTGTAGCTGACAACCGCCCAAGGACCCCAGACTCTCCGGCACAGGCAGGCATGCGATTTTGAGTTAAGCCAACAGCTTACAAGAAATGTTGCTAGGTCTGGACAGTGCCTCCCAGCTGATCAGAGGGTACTGCTAAAAGAACCCTCAGCCTCTCTGAGCATGTGGTTTTCCTATTGTATGTTCAGAACGGGGACCACTTCTTCCCTGACACTGCATTCGTTAGAAAAATGGCTTCACTATCATGTGAGATGGGTAGAGGTAGGACTTCATAACTTGACATTTCTGAGCTGGCTATTAATTCACGGACAGCTAGGCAGAGGGCTCAGGGAAGTGATTTGTTTTTTCCTCAATCTTAATTTGCTTAATTTGCACTGATCCATTCTTTGCTTAATTTGCACTGATCCATTCACTACTGTTAGTGGTTGATTTTTTTATGTTCCTGGTGTCACCAATTTCTCCCTGATTTTATCAGAATTTGGCTTTATTTTCTGTGATTTTTTATTTTATCAAACTACTTTTCTCTATATATTTGTAAAGACATATTTGTAAATAAAGGTTTTTATCTTGTCCAAAGCGAAATACAGGCAAACACTCTCCTCTGTAACAGATGACTAATAAAGAATGAACTGTTTATGTAGAAAACAACTTCATGAGTAGAAAGGTGGGAGAATCCATCAGGTTGATAGTAAGTCTTGGTGTCAAAGTCCAGTTTCATGGACACAAAACTGAGTAATGGGAAGATTCTCAGGTAGAATAATGTGGGTCATAAAGGCTTTTGGTAACTTCTGTTTGTGTCACGTGGATGCAGGTCGCCTGTTAGCAATTTGTAGGCTTTTATGCTGTCTTCTTCCCCTGCTTTTTAAAAGCAAATTAAAATACTAATAAACTTCCATTATTAATAAACTAATAAACCTCTTTATTCTCTGCTCTGTCTTGGAACAGCAGCTCTTTCCATGCAATTAAGAGGGGGCACTTGCTCAGGACAGCCCACTGCCAGTGACTGACTGCACACCCGCATAAAATGAGTCTTTTTTCAAGGTCTTAAAATGGAATTCATTTCTGTCTTACCTCCCTGCCCTGGTGAGTAGGGCTGGCTTATAGGGCGTGTTTCAGAAACAGGCATATTACCCATCAGAAGGGCGTGTGAGGTTCCGCCTGTCGTCTCAGGCACTGGCAACCCCGAAGACTAGGGCCTACGACCCCTCTCTACTGTGTTCCTCGGAGCTTACCTTAGCGTGTGGTGTCACACTATGGCTTTTTCTCTCTGCTGAGCTCCACAGCAGCAGGAACTCACCAAAATAGCAGGCAGTTGTAGACGCTGTGGATGTGACAAGGATGGGCTTCACTGGGCTTGGGGTTCATCCTTTCCGTCACAGCTGAAAGGTGGCTCCTTGCCTCACCCACAAGCTTCAGCCTCGGCCTGCTCTGCTTCTGCATGGAGATCAAAAGATACCCCAGGAAGGAAACATCTAAATTCAACAGGAACGAAACCTCAAACCATCAAATACATCTTTGGGCCAGCAACATGGAAAGAACTTAAATTCAAATACTTGTGGAGCTAAGTGAGTGGCTTTTCTGTAGCTGTATCATAAACACATTAAGAAGCTGGCAGAGAACCCTGAGACTCAGCGGCAGAGAAATACTACTGCGCTTCACTAAGTTCCCACACAAGCGCCAGCTCAGAGAAGCCACGAATCTAGAGTGGTAGAAAGACGAACACTAGAAGATAAATGTCAACCATTCCGTTGTTTCTAGATGAACTTTAGAAACAAAGTTGATTCCAAAGTTCAAGTTTGGGAAAACTTGGAACTGTTAAAACATGGTACTTCAGAGTGGCAACGGGCTTTAGAGGAAAGGATGAGTAGTTTTTCATTTGACTTAACTGATAAGTGGAAGTAGGACTCCTAAACAGGAAATCATTAGTGGGCACTGATAGAGCATAGCAGGCAGGGTGTGGGCTATTTCATGTAGTCTGGGATTGCATGAAAATTGTTAGGTGGTGTGCTCTTAACAAAAAATCCCAGGAATGAAGTATTGCTAACATTCCTTTGAAGCCCTTCAAATAGGATCTTGGAATCAAGCTAGGTAAGTGCTGTAGTTATATAAGCTATTATGAGGCTTCAAAGCAAAGTGAAAGTTGACACAAATACATAAAAAAAATTAGTTACAGCTACCGAATTGTCCAAAGCTCCCTCTCTGTGAAAAAATGCTGCCAGCCCTAGTTGCTGCCATGGATGCCCGAGGGAGGAGGGGGCAGGAAAGCCACAAAAAGCTTTGTGATCCGGTGCATGTATTACAGACACTTCTCTTCCTCAGCTAGCTCTGTCACGGGTGGAAGCTGTTTACCCCCTGTCAGCGGAGGAAGGAGCACTGGTTATACAGGCTCTGTTTTAGCACCGGGAAGACCCAGTGGGTCCACGATGAATGACAAAAATCTAGGATTGCATTAAAATGTGGGCGTGAGGGCCTTCCTGTTGACACAGGAGTTAAAGTCTCAGCACTATGAAGCTGTCCGCAGCCACTGCAGCACGGGTTCGATTCCCAGCCAGGGAGTGACCCCCATGGCGCAGCAGACTTCCCTCTCGCCCACTGTCCCCTCAGCAGTGTACTTCAGTAGGTTCATCTGTTCTGCTCCCGACTCTCTCTGGTGAATCCTCTCTGCAACCTCTTCCCCAGCCCCACATCTCTGGCCTATACCCCAGCACTTGTATGCATAAATAAATAAAAATAAATTTAAAAAAATGAAGTGTGTGCTTGAGTATGCACAGTGGAGAGGTTTCAGGACTTCCTTATCCAAATTTGAACTGTAGATTTTTTTTTAAAGATTTATTTATTTATGCATACAGAACTGGGTACAGGCCAGACATGCAGGGACGGTGAGAGGATTCACCACACACAGAGCGGGGAGCAGAACAGGCAGATCGATGAAGTACACTGCTGAGGGGAGCAGCAGGCGGGTCAGGATCCGCACCATGTGGATCTCCTCTGGGGCAGGCGGGGATCGGACTCATGCTGAAGTGGCTTTAGCTTCTTACTGCTGTGCTTTAACCCACTGTGCCACCAGGGAGAGCCCTGAACTGTAGATTTTTAAAGGGGGACGCCTCATACAAAAGTACATTCAGTCACAGCCATTTGCATAATTTGTTTTTGCAAGGTCCATGTTTCTCTAAGTGCTCACAAGCAGTGGGGAAGAGGAAGTACCCACATGGGTATTTAAATCCTTATACAAGATAGAGTATAAAGGAAGTGAAATAGAACAGAGAAAGTTAAAATTTTGAACGTGGGCGGGGAGGGGTCCCTGTGGCTGAGAAGAGTGAGAGGGAAGCAGAGCTGCAGCTTCTGTTGTGCGTGAAAGAAGTTCGATACCAGAAGAAAACAACTTAGTCCTCCTATGGCAAGACCTTTTGTTTTAAACTTTAATATCCTTTGTCAAAGAAGAAAAAGGAAAGTTATCAGCACCTGCAATTTTCTCCAGTCAACAGTCTCAGGAGAATGGGAGATAATTCCAGCTGGAGAAAGGGTTCAGATTAGCTCAGAATTTCCACTGAGATATTATGTATAAGGCTAGAGTTTGCTCAAAACAGCCTGCTGTCAATTTCTATGGTACTTTCTGCTTTTTATTTGAAAACTTTCCTGTACTCCCCATGCACAAAGTAATTGTGAATAGAAAGAGGGAGAGATGTGTAGCATAACATAGCAATAGCTTGTAGGGGCAAGTGACTGGATATGATTGAATGGATGTAGCTGATCAGGGAGATGTTTTTTTTTTTTTAATTTTAAAGATTTATTTATTTATGCATACAGAACTGGGGTACAGGCCAGAGGTGCAGGGGTGGTGGGAGGGTTCACCAGAGACAGGGTGGGGAGCAGAACAGGCAGATCGACGAAGCACACCGCTGAGGGGAGCAGCGGGCGGGTCAGGAGAGGTCTGGCTCGCCATGTGGTCTCCTTCAGGGCAGGCGGGAATCGAACTTTTGCGGAAGGGGCTTTAGATTCTCAGTGCTGTGCTTTAACCCGCTGCGCCACCAGGGAGGGCCAGATCAGGGAGATGTTTTAAAGATGATTCCACAGTTCAAGTTTGGGGAAACTAGGAACCGTTAAAACGAACAAGATGCTTCAGAGTGGAAACTGGCTTTGGGGAAAGGATGAGTTTAGTTTTTCATTTGACTTAACTGTTAAGTGGAAGTAGGATTCCTAAACAGGAAATCCTTGGTGGGTACTGACAGTATTAGAGCAGCTGGCGGGGTGTGGGCTGACCTAGACGGACAAGGCCAAGTCTGCAGACAGTGTGACAAGGTTTGTTTCAGGAAGTCAACCTTGTGGGCTTAAAAGGAGGCTGGTTTATACATTTTTTCCCTTTAAGGGCACAAATGGGCCATTGCAGGAGGCCAGTGGCTGGGGAGACCCTTCTGGTCTGTAATCTGACCATTCATCTCTTCCTTTCCTAGCCAGGTCTAGGGTAAATAAGGTGAAATTTAAGACGCTCAAAATTATTATTTAAAATTATTCAAGATGATCATTTCTTCAAGAAAAACTGTCAGGTAAGGCAATTCTTGCAACTAGAAGTCAAGAAGTAGGTCTGGAAAATGTGGGTCAGTTTACTTCTCCTGAAGCCAGAAACATCAAATCAAAACACTGTTTTTGGTATAAATAAGATATTTAACCTTTAAAAAATGTTGTGGAATTTGATTTACCCACGTTTCAATATTTTCAACAGCTTTAATATCTGGAAAATTTTAACACACACACACACAAAAACGTGTTATATGGGGATCCGCACGTCCCCTCAAAACCTCAGGAGTAAGCTGACTCGGGGCCTGGATTGCCTTACATTTGAATATTTTGTTCCTCAGGGAAATTCTGGCATTCATTTTGACTTTTAAAAACATTATCTTTACCGCCAGTTTCTTGCAAATCCCCTTTCACCTTTTCTCCTTCCCTCCCCGCCCCACATCCCCCACCCCCAAACAAATTCGCGCTCGCAACTATGCCTTTTCCGGGTTTTTTTACAGCTTCAAGTTTTCCTCAGAAGCAGAGCCAGCCTTTGTTTTGCCAACCTCGAGTCCAGTGGGTGACCTCTTCCACCTTCCATGTAAAATTTCTCTTTAGTAACTTGAAACCAGCTTCATTCACCACTGGGCGGCGTCGGCCCAGCCGCTCCCGCCGTAAGGAAGCTCCCGGAACCCCCGCGTCAGGGGAGCGTGTTTCCCGCCGTGCCGGCCGGCAGCATTTTAACAACACACGCGGAGGACTTCCGTTTTCGTCTTCCTCTCGCGAGCCTGCGTCGTGGTTGCACAGGAAGTGACCGCCGAGCTAGGACCTTCTGGGCTCGCGCGTCAGGTGAGGGCGGAGGGAGCGCGCGTGGTGTGTCGGTGTGCGTCGGTCCCCGCGGGTGGAGAGGCGGCGCCCTGTCGGGGTTTGGAATTTTTCATTCGTGCGGCGACTCCGCGCCTTCGTCCACCTCCAAGGCGCTTGGCCTTGTCCACTTTCAGGACGGGCGCCTGCCCCTGAGGCCCGGGAGCCCAGGCGTCCCTGGCATCGCCAACGAGGACGCAGGCGGTGGCTTTTGCGGGGACAAGTGTCAGATTCAACCCCTGGATGACATTCTAATATATGTTGAGCCTTTCGTCTGGCTTAACAACTGTTGCAAGCGTTTCGGATGGGGCAGTGAATAAATCAGATTTTTTCCCCCTGTCGCAAGGGAACGTACATTGCAAACAAATTTGAGAGGGCAGGGAGTGGAAACTCAGTAACTCAGAAATCAGATTTGATTTTTGTTGTTGGAAGAGGAAGTTAAGGGGGATCCAAATATATGCAGGTGTGAGGGTGTCTGGGCAGGGGAGGGCTCCATCTAACAGGTGCAGGGAGAGGGGGGGTTCAGGTTCTCCAGGTGAATTGCATAAAGAGCATGAATGCATGTAGGTATTTAGCAGTAGTGAATGGGCCTTTGCTGACAGGTACAGTGTTTCATGTCTTTCTGTTTTCTTCAGGAAAAGACTAAACACTAGATTGTATGAAAAGAAAATAGAAACCATGTTTCGAAGACCTGTGTTACAGGTAATCTCATTTCCATGTTAGTGTTGATCAACCATACTGACCAGATAGCTTTAGGTGTTTGAATGTAGAGGCAAAAAGACCTTTGAAACCACCCACCTTCCCTGTAGTCTTTTGATAGGGTTGGGAACAAAAAGATTTAACTGTTTAAATCGTGTCTTTAAAACGAAAGAGACGTTTTCCAACCTGTTCAGGTGTGTAACGGGAATCATTACTTCCTAAGACATGCTTGCATGTAGATCAGTTAGGGAGCATTTCTCTGTCTTTAGCAATTTTTTGTTTTAGTATGAGAATGTTTGTTCTAGCATTTTTCTGTAAGACTTGGCTACTGCCTCCCTCCTCCCTCCAGTCTCTCTGCAGTGGAGAAGAGCAGCTGAAGTCACACTGTCACACATTTACCATACCAGGATTCCTTCTCATTCCATATATTCCTGCTCACCTGTCCAGTCACTCTAACCAGCCTTGAGCCAAACTGGACTCCCTTTTCCCTCACCACAGATGGTCACCTGGTTCTGTAGGTTCCCTTTTATAACAGCTTCTCCTATCCATCATCCTGTTAAATGAACAGTCAGTCCGTTTGTGAACTCTTTTCTCATCTCCCCCACCCACTAGTATAGAACTGACTGTGTCCTTAAACGCCTGCTCTTACCTTTATATACTTTTAACGTGTGTGTGTGTGCACGTTTATGTTCAAATGTGAAACTTGGATTTGTTAACACTGTCTTATACTACAGTGTTAAGCAGAACACAGAAGTTTAAAAAAAGGTTTAAAATTCAATAATTTTCTTTTGTCAGATCGTTATTAGGTCTTGCTTTTTGTGTGCCCAGAGTGAGAAAGATTGTGAGACTTCGAGCCCTGCCTCTTCTGAGCACACATATTAGGACATTTCCAGAATCTTGCATAGGTCATAGTTAGCAGTTTGATTCTTTAGTATATTGTCATTTACATCTTTATTTTTTACCCACTTTCTGCCCCAGAACACAGTGATAGAATTGCTTAGCCAGCACTACCTCATCAAAGGGTGTTTGATTGGTGGAATTTGCTTTTTATATAAACAGTGCTACCATGGGCACTTGCCTCTGATGCAATTTTTCGCTCTGGCCTTTGTGCCCAGCATGGTGCCCAGTAATGTGTGCTCATAGCTTGGCAGTAGCCCTTGAGCAGAATATCTGTAAGGAAGCAGCAGAGGGTGATGGGAAAAGTCACCTTGGTGTCACAAAGCCCAGAGCCTAGGTGTGACTTGCCATTTGTTTCTTGCAGGATTATGGGGAAATTACCTACTCTCTGCAAGCTTCATCTTTCTCATCACTAAAGTTGGGGTCGTTTCCCATAGTTTATAAGTTTATTCTGTGGATGAACTGACCATAGGTAAAGCAGTTGGCTGAGAGTCAGCAATGGCAGAAGCTCCATGATTCGGTGCTGCTATGTGGTGACACTAACGACCCCTTTTTTCAAACCCACGTGGACAGTCCTGTCTTTATACTTAAAGAACCAGGTTTATTTGTCTTGGACTTTGTTCTTTGTCTATCAGAAGCTAAACGTTTCCAACAAACCTGTGATTACACCTTTTGTATGCAAGCCCAGACATTCCATAGCGAGGGGCTTGCGGTCATGAGAAGAGGACTGTCCGTTTCCTTGGGCCTGGGCTCCAGAACCTTCCATGCACTCTGGGCTGGCGCAGTCGGCCGCCTTGCGGTGCTCGCATGGTCCTGGCGCTGTGTGTCGCCATGCGGGCAGCTCCTGTCTGTACTATGTGCTGCGGGGCTGCTGGCCGGCAGCGACCTGGGGTAGGTCTCCTGCCGCGCTTGTCCTTCCCCCAAGTTAAAAGCGTTTGCATTTATTCCTCTTAGGTGCTACGGCAGTTTGTAAGACATGAATCTGAAACCACTAGCAGTTTGGTTCTTGAAAGATGTAAGTAACAGATCATTTTCCAGTTGAGAGCATGTTCTGCATAGCGATGTGCTGGTGTGCTCAGGCGGGTCGAGAGGAGCTGGCCTGGCTGGGCTCTGAGCCGTGAGTCATGCTTTGGCTCCGTTCGCCGCTCAGGTCTTGATCTGCCCCGTCAGCCACAGCGCCTAACATGTAGGGGGCGCTTCTGCCCACGCCGGTCGGCTTGTACTCACTCTCGTGAGTTCCTTCCATCGAGCGTTTTGGGCATATTTGGTTACGTAAGGCTTCCGATGTTACGGTATTTGATTGTGGTAGTGAATTATTTTACAGAAGTATTTCCTTGTATTTAAACAGATTTTCACCTTGCAGATTTGTTCTTTTACCTGTAGAGACAGTAAAATAAAGATTTGTTGATTTATTTATGCTCGTGAGACCTGAGGTACAGGCCAGAGAAGTGGGGGGTGAGAGGATTCACCAGAGAGAGTGGGAAACTGAACAGGCGGATCTGAAATACAGCCAAGGGGAGCGGCGGGCGCGTCAGGAGAGTCTGCTGCGCCCTGTGGGTCCGCTCCGGGGCGGGGATCCAGCTCGTGCTGCCGTGGCTGCCATTAGCTCCATGGTGGTGAGACAACTCCGTGGCCATCAGGGAGGCCCCTAGAGACAGTTTTCTAAGGAGGTATTTTCAGGAGAATTTCAGATCAGAGCTCATCTTTGTTCGGCGGGGCTGCTTTCTCTGAACACCTGCCCCTTTCTGCCAAGCTGCTCTTGTCCTACCAGCCCTTTATTCCCACTTCGTCTTATTTTCTGATGATCTGTATTTTGGGATTTGCTTTATGTTGGAATTGAAGGCTGTAATGTTGAAGTTAAGGCTGTATTTGTGCTGTTCCCTCTTTGGATGTTCCTTTCGTCTCATCTCACCTTGTGTTTCAGCTTTGAATCGTGTGCAGTTACTTGGGCGAGTGGGCCAGGACCCTGTGATGAGACAGGTGGAAGGAAAGAACCCAGTCACAATATTTTCTATGGCAACAAATGAGATGTGGCGGTCAGGAGAAAGTGAGACGTACCAGATGGGTGAGTGGGAAACCCTGGGGTTTAATCGGAGCAATAGACATCACTTAGTGCCAGCCACCTAAGTAGAGGTGAGCTACTTCCAGAAAGGATATTTCGTCTCTGACTCAATTCTCTTACCTTAGAAATTGGGACATTGATTTTGCTGGACTTGGGATCTTCGGCGTTAGAAACCCATTTCCTGTTTTGATTTAGGTGATGTCAGTCAAAAGACAACCTGGCACAGAATCTCGGTGTTCCGGCCAGGCCTCAGAGATGTGGCATACCAGTATGTGAAAAAGGGGTAAGTGAGATTGCATGGCTTCAGAAATCTGATAACCTGTGTCCTGTGTCCTGGAACGGGCAGTTCCTTTGCTCCTAAGTAACTGCCAATTGTCTTGATTTGAGGTACTCGGTGCTCGTGCTGTGCCGGTGCATTGGCATGTGCCACGCGTGCAGAAGCAGAGCAAATGTAGCTTCAGCCCTCTGGACACGCTACTTAGGCAAGCGCAGCGTGCACGTAAATAGCAGCAGTTGAGGCAAGAGGAGGCGGGATTGAGTGCCCTGGGAGCAGGTGCAGTGCGGCTTTTCGGGCTCCCAGGGCTGCTGCGTCCAGGTCCTGACAGGGCAGTGTCTTGCCTCTTGCATCCACGTAAGATCGTTCTCGAGGACCTGGGATGTCTGGAGCTTGACACTGTGCAAAATGGTCACAGCAGCTATTTTATATTTGATAGTTTCACGTAGGCTCAGAAGTTCCCTTTTGCAGTGTTTGGATTGATCATGTGCCAAAGAGTGTCTTTCCCAAACCCGCAGAAGGACAGAAGGCGGTGTTTAACAGCGTTGTAGCCATCGTGTATTCAGAGATAAAACCTGGAGAATACTTCTATAAAACTAAAGTTTCTGTTTCATAACCACACATCTTCCTGTGCACCTCCATTGTACATATGTGTGAGTGTGTGCACACATGTGAATGCACAGGCTATGCCAGGGAAAGCCTGTGTGCGGCCACCTGCTGACTGAGAGGCCTCTGCGTGTTTCCCCTGGCTTCCACCCAACTTGCCAGTCTTGTCTCCTTTCTGTATTGTACTTTCTTGGTGATGGAGAAGGCTGAAACTGGTTTCATTGTGGTCAATTTCTTCTCTTCAAGAGGTCAGTTATATTGTCGTCTGGGTAGTGCCGTCGAGATGGTGCAGAAAGTCATTACCCTTCAGTGAACACTAGGTGAAAAGCTATTTTGATTAGAACCATCTTAGTCCCTTGAAAATAATTTGTGAGCCTCAGCCATAGTAAGGGATTAAAGAAATGAGTGAGCGTCAAATCATAGGAGTTCAGAGCTCAGGGAAATCGACACATTGCTAATCAAGCCTGCAGTTGGGAGGATCGTGCTTCCATCTTCTGGCCTCAAGGTTCTTTTTTTTAGGTTAATTTTGCGTAGACTTGATTTTTTAAAAACACTTCATGAAGGACTACACACAGTCATCTCAAGGAAGAAAACATTATCCTTGTTACTTGATGTGTGAAGTCTGTGTTCTGTCCAGTGCTCTGAACTAAGCCGTGAGAAGTGGTAGCCTCGCGTGAGGCTCTTTGCAATTGCGTATTTCGTCCTTAGTGTGTGCTGATGGCCACCTCGGGCCTCATGTTCCTGTAACTGATTGGAATCTATACTGAGAACTGTAAATTTTATTTGCAACAGGTCTCGAATTTTTGTGGAAGGGAAAGTCGACTACGGTGAATACACAGACAAAAATAACGTGAGGCGACAAGCAACGACCATCATCGCTGGTAAGAAGATGGCGCTTGGGGCTGCTGTAGTGCCCCCGGCCTTTAGTTATTCATCTGCTTATGCAGACAGAAGGTGCAGGGGGAGAGGACTCCCCAGAGACAGAGGGGGAGCAGAGCAGGTGGATGGACTGAGACGCACTGCAGAAGGGGTACAGACAGAATATGTCACACCTGATACTAAGAAATTCTTGAAATATTTTTTACCTGATATCACAGTGTTCAAATTTACTTGATTGCTTCGTAAATTGAGTCCTTTCATTAAATTACATGGTGCTTATATATCATAAGTCTCTTTTTAAACAACAGATAATCGTTTTCTCTCAATTTTGAAGGTGGAAGTCTGAGAACTTAAGTTTTTTTTTTTTTAAAGATTTATTTATTTATTCATACAGAACTGGGGTGCAGGCCAGAGATGTGGAGGGTGAGAAGATTCACCAGGGACAGAGTGGGGTGCAGAACAGGCAGATTGATGAAGTACACTGCTGAGGGGAGCAGCGGGCGGGCCAGGAGAGGTCTGCCACGCCATGTGGTCTCCTCCGGGGCAGGCGGGAATCGAACTCATGCGGAAGTGGCTTACGCTTCTTAGTGCAGTGCTTTAACCCACTGCGCCACCAGGGAGGGCCGAACTTAAGTTTTTTTTAATGAAGTCACTCCTTTTTTGTCGGTGTCAGAGTTCATGTCCTAACCACCATATCATTATTAACAATTGCTCAGAGTTCATGTCTTAACCAGCATACCATAATATTAATAATAATTTGTTTTTTTACTGGTTTCATTGCAAATATTTTCCTGAAAACTCACAGTGGTATCCTTACCCTCATTATCAAACCTTAGAGGCCTCATTTTTTTTTTGACCTGGTGTTTTCTCAGTTCTTGAGTGTGTTGAGGAAAACTCATTTCCCACACACCGGCGCTTTGTCGGCCTTTGTCTTCAGAAATAACATACCTGTTCAGAATCTTTGTTCTGTATGGTGTGGGACCAATTCTCTGTTGTTCGCGTGTTTCTGAAGCATTTAACACTGTTGTAGTCACTGTAAATCAGATGCGTGGGCAAGCCTGAGCTGTGTGAGTCGTTACGAGCCAACCATGTAGAAACATTTCATGTTGTCAGCTGTTTTGTTTTTCTCTTGTCACCAGTATTTGCTAGCATGAGGCTGAGAAGTTAGCATAGATAAATGGCCATTTAATAGGAGTAGTCTTTCAGTGACATTGAAGGAGAGGAGAGCGTTTCATTTGGTTGATCTGTTTTGCAGGCCACGTTTTTTAATAGCTTGTCACTTGAACATGACCTGCAGTGGGGGCAGCTTGTTTTACTCAGCGCTGCCCTTCTGATCATCTCTTCTGCAATCGCCGTCCTTAACCAGATACTGTATTCTTAGAAAACGAGCGCCAGAACAAGTAGGCATTATGTAGTAACCACCTCATGATTAATTTGAGGTTAGGAGAATGTAGATCTTTTGGAGTCGCACAGAAGTCTACTGTGCGAGCTTGGCTTGTCTTAAGCTGACTCCCTCTGGGACAATATTAAGATCAATGTCTGATGTTCCTGAGTAGCAATGCTTACTCTGGAAATGATACTTGAAAATTTTTCCAAGAATGAGTGTATCAAAGTTACTTTGTTTAAAATCTCGGAAAACAAAATGTTTTCTGTGTGGCATTCAAACTTAACTGAAGCCATGCATGAATCTGCCTTTGTTCGTGGGCCGTGTGACACGTCTGTGCGTTCCTCTGGGCCGCAGGGTGGGCGGGTGGAGCCGACGGCCTCCTTTGTGAGCTTGTTCCCTGGTGTAAGGCACCTGCCTGGGCACTGCACACACCCACATTTGTGACCTGTTCTATTGCGGGAAGCTCTTATCTTTGGGGATGACAGATCTTTTCCTGCCCCTCCACAAAGTCCAGAATTTCAGACAAACAACTGAAGCCAGCTTATTTTTTTTTTCAAAGATTTATGTATTTATGCATATAGAACTGGGGTACAGGCCAGAGATGCAGGGATGGTGGAGGATTCACCAGAGACAGAGTGGGGAGCAGAACAGGCAGATGGACAGAGTACATTGCTGAGCGGAGCAGCAGGGAGACAGGAGAGGTCAGCTGGGTCCTGTGGGTCAGCTCCCTGGCTGGGGATCGAACTCATATAAAGTGGCTGCAGTCAGCTTCAACCCACTGCACCACCAGGGAGGGCCCTGAAGCCCAACTTTAAGTTCCCATTACAACTGATATCACTGATGAATATAGCAGGTTATGTAGTATATTGAGAATTTGTCTAAAATCCTTTCAGTAATGTGCATCTATTAGAGAGGAATGATTAAATGGGACGGAGGAAAGTTCTGAGCATAGTATTAATACTTTGTCTTCTTTCCAGATAACATCATATTTCTGAGCGACCAGACAAGAGAGAAGGAATAGAATGGACAATTCGTCTTTGGCTTTTATTTGGTACAGTCTCATTTTGAAATCATGTGTAATGTATAGTCTCATCAGTTTCTAAGGACAAGATTAAACACTCTTTTATATAACGTGAGCTGTAATATTTTTCCCAGCCGTTGCTCCTCTTTGCCAGTTCCTCAGGGATGGTTCTAGGAACAGCATACAAAAGAGTGAACTTTTAGACCTGCTGGTGTGGCTGGAGAGGGGAGACTGCCCTTTGGGGGGTGCCCTGCACTATGTGCTTCTGTCACAGTGTTGACTCAACCGCTCAGTGTTCACTGAGCGTCAGGGTATCCCACAGTTGTAAGTAATGTTTTTCTTTGTGCTCTGTGCACTTGCAGGCGAGGTCAGTTTACCTGCACCTTAGCCAGTGCTCTGCACAGACTAGATAGGCTCTTGACAGGCAGCGTTCTCCAGGGTCCCCGAGCGCAAGGGGTCCTCTCCAGATCCCCCCGGGATGGTTGTCTGATGGTCTAGAGTGGACGTGTGGAGCCTGACGCTGGTAACAGGCTCCAGGGCTTGGAGGGCCAGCGTGTGTCTTGCATTTCATGTTCCTGTGGCACCAAAAGAAATACCTGCAGAAATGCCCCTGTGACTTTGACTTTGGGATTCTGTAGTAATTGGAAAGATTACTATGGCTCACAGACGGGTGAGAGAATAAGTATCAAACGACAAGTGGGGTGTCCAGTTTTGAAAAAGAATATGATTACTCTAAGTCCATGCTCAGAAAAGTCTGGAAGGAAAAACATCATAATGTGATTATCTCTGGATAGGGTACATTTGTGTGATTCTCTATTTCTTTACATTCCTAAATATTCTAATTTCTTTTTGCGCTGAGTAAGTATTAATTTTACAATGAAAAGTACTCCTTTATTCAAAATTTTGATCTGGGGGATAAAATCCCATTCTTTCTTTTTTTTTTTATTTCTTTTTATTTTTTTTAAAGATTTATTTATTTATTCATACAGAACTGGGGTACAGGCCAGAGATGCGGAGGGTGAGAGGATCCACCAGATACAGAGCGGGAAGCAGAACAGGCAGATCGACGAAGTACACTGCTGAGGGGAGCAGCGGGCGGGTCAGGAGAGGTCTGCCACGCCATGTGGTCACCTCCGGGACAGGCGGGGATCGAACTCATGCGGAAGTGGCCTCAGTTTCTCAGTGCAGTGCTTTAACCCGCTGCGCCACCAGGGAGGGCCCTTTCCCATTATTTCTACGCCAAGTTTGCAGTACTCTGTTACCTCCAGGTACACTGCGTGGAATAGAGTGATCATGTTGGTCTTGCACGAGCTTTTCCCTCCTTCTGCATCCTAGCATCTCATGCTTAAACATTTTACTCACCTCTACTTTCCCCCCTTTTTCTTGGTGCAGTTCTTAATTCATGTACACAGAAGCCCAGGATGACTGCTTTCAAGACAGCCTAGCTATGGTCCACAGTTGCTACCAACGTCGTCCTCAGAGAGCATCTGTTTGTTCAGATTCATTGGCCAGTTAATGCAGAGGCGCCCCAAACACTGAAGCATTTATTTGTGGCTTTGGGGAGTTAACTCATGCCATCTGGGTTATGGGCTAACCTTTGTAGCTCAGTGAGGGCATTTAGTTTCACTTCGTCCCCAGAGAGAGCAAAAAGTTCTGGAAGGCGAGGTTGTCTTTTTCTCAGACAACTCTTCAGCCCCCTTCAGTTAGTTCAGCCTAGCACAGCAACCTCATAGGGCTTTATTAAACATTCAGTTGGATTGTGCTGAAACTTGGCATGGAAATGACGGCAGGGCCATTTTACATAGTTCTCTTTCGGAGTTGGCATCATGTGCAGCGTGGTGGTGGAAACTGATTGGTCATCCTAACGCCACTAGTTTTGGAGAAATCACCTATAAATTAACAGTGGCATAAATGAATGGCGTTTGTTGTGTGCTGACTCCAGCCAGGGACTGAGCTCAGAGTGGTTTATCATTGTCTGATTTAACTGGCGCCTGAGGAGGCACCAGCAGGTGAGGCGCGGAACGGAGAGACGACACGGCGTGTCCGAGTGACGCAGCCTGCAAAGGCACACCTGACATTCCAGCTATGTTTCTGAAGTGTCCGTTTGGCTTTGGGCCCACTGCCTTCTTGCTGCTGCCCCCTCTCATTGCCGAAAGTATTCAGAACCCCCCACTGCCAGCTGTGACCAGTGCCCGTGGAGGGGGCATCTGGATCTTCCTGGAGTCGAATACCTGGTGGGCTTCGGTTGGGAGAATTGGGCATGACGGAGCAATACCTCTGCCTCCCACCCTGCCTGATTCTCATGCCGGTCTCCCTGCCGCCTCCTCCAGGTTATCTTAGGCGTTCCCTTCTTCCCTGCCCCCCCCGCAGGGTCTCTTCACCGGCTGATGTAAGTTCAGTGTCTGCCCCTGTACTGTTGCCTCCAGATCCTGCGTGCTGAATTGGTCAGGGAGGCTGTTCCAGCATTTGTCAGCTCACTTTTTAGAGAAGGAGCCTTCGGGCAGGAGCCAGCAGCCTGGGGGCCCCACTGAGGACTGTCACAGCTCCGTGCTGGTCCCCGACCTGCGTGAGGGACACAGGGGCGCTGGTAGCTTTTCAGCCATCAGATCACGTAGCCACAGAGTGACATTTCTTTTTTTCTTGCTTGATGTCCCTTTGCTATCTGCTGTGCTTTGGACTCCGGCGTCTTACTTGACCATACTGGTGTGCATCTTGACATTAGTTTTCTGTTGCATCTGTCATTTGAAGAAAGTTGGTCTACCTGTAGTCAGAAAACATGGATTGAATACTTGCTTTACTCACCAGCTGAGTGACCTCGGTAGTTTCTTCCTTTCCCTAACTCAGATTTTTGTTGTTTGGTTTCCCTGGGAATAGAAGGATTATAGTAATGCTCACTTCATAGGCATATTTTGAAGAGCACAATAAATAGTGTGTGCAAGTGGCTTACTGAGTGCGTAGTAACTCAGACAAGTGCTCAGTACGCGTTGCTCTCAGTTCTGTCATTCTCTAAGGCAGGCAGGTCACTCTTTCAGTCGGCATGCCCCTCCACCAAGTCTCAGGGTACTTGCTGACTGTACTCGACATTTTAAAAATTATTATTAACTTCCAGGAATTACCTAACACTTTCTACTTTGATAGTATTTTTGTTGTTAAAACTGCTATGACTGTTCACACTGAGCCTTGGCATCTTTTTAAATTCAGAAATCACTCAGGCAGCTGCTCTGTGCTGCACAGCCCTAGAGGCCTGGGTAGCAGGAGGGAGATGGGACTCTGCTGAAGGAGCTCACAGCCTCGGATGTGGGGCTGGTGTGGTATACACAGGAGCAGTTCAGTGACAGTGGCATAGAAACACTGGTGAGCGTGATGGGTGCAGCAGACAATAGTCAGGGTAGTTTTCAGCAGAGGAAATAGCATGTACAAAGATCTGGAAACTTGCACAAAGGAGTGAAAGTTAGGACATGGAAAGTGGCTTAGCCTGGATAATAAAGGCTCTGGAAAGCTTGCAGGAGAGTTGGTTAGCGGAGAGCGATAGAAGTCTTTAAGGCCAGGACATGTCTTGCAAATCAGCGTTGAAAGATGAGTGAACAGGTGAAGGCTGAGGCATTAGGAAGGTACTCAACGAGCCAAGAAAGGTTAGCGGTGCTGAGAAGTGACAGGAAGGGCGTGTGGGATTCCCTGATTGATTCATCGTGCACCAGTTGTGACCCATGTCCCCTGCCTGGCGCTGGGTTGAGGAACTAGAAAGAATACAACTTCTGCCCGGGATCTCCTGCTGACAGACAGCTGTCGGTGGTGAGGGGAAAGCAGTTAAAAGAAAACTCTGATGTTGCTGCTGAGGGCAGTTGTGTGTATAGCTGCCGAGACTATGGGACACTGATGTGGGACCTGGTTGTATGGTAGGTATCTATTTCATGTATCTGTGCATGCAAGAGCTGGGGTGTAGGCCAGAAGTGCAGGGATGAGGGAGAGGTGAGAGGATTCACCAGAGACAGAATGGGAAGCACAAAAGGCAGATCACTGAAATCCACTGCTGAGGGGAGCAGCGGGGAGACAGGAGAGATCAGCTGTGCCATGTGGGTCACCTCCCTGGCCAGGGATCGAACTCATGCTGCAGTGGCTGCTGACAGCTTCATAGCGCTGAGATTTAACCCCATGTGCTACCAGAGAAGACCAAGGAACTGATTTTAAAGGAGAAATAATAGATTTAGGTTTGAACATAAGTTTAATTGTAGATTTTCTAGCTTATATTTGCAGGGTGATTACTAATGAGTCTGGAGCTCAGAAGAGAAGTTGAGATAAAGTGATTCTTACTTTTTTCTGCCAAGCAGACTTTCTGAACAAAGTCTCAATGTTACCAGGATTTCAGCTTTCTGTTGTTTTGAGGCCGAGGTTGCATTGTGTTGCTGTTTGTGATGTACCTGAGCTTGGCTTATTAGGTACGATAAGATGACAAAGACATCTACACTTGAAAGTAGTTTATCACTTACAGTTCCTACAAAGAGGGCTGAAGGCATGTTCTGCAGGATACTGTGCTCTGTAGGAAGCCCCAGGGTAGATCAGGAAGCAGAAGGCTAGAGGGGAAGTGGGGAAGTGTGGGCTGGAGTTTTGTTGTGGTTTTGGAGGGGAAAGAACAGATGCCTGATAGGCAGGCGCAATAGTTGTAGTATTGGACAGTTGAATAATGGTCAGCTGCTCTGCACTGTAGAGGGTTGTTGGGTGGTTTAGAGGGGCTCGTGTCCTGCCCACGGAAGTTGGTATAAGAAGGTGAGTTAGAGTTGTGGGCTCGGGATGCTTGCTGTGCATGTCAAAAGTATGCATGGGAGCAAGTCACTCAGTTCTAGAGTTACTTTCCTCGGAGGACTGCCTGCCCTCCGGTCTGCACATGCCTAAGTGTCAGAGCATCCTAAAATACCAGGATTAAAACGCATGACTAATACGCCACCGTGTATCCATTATCCTCTTTACATTTGTAGAACCCCTGTTTTTTGGGGGGTGACTTCACAGCCACCCTACTGCATTCTTGTTCCTCTGCAGTTAAAGGGTGGTAAGGGGGTAGAGGCAGAAGTCATTGGTGATGCATCCAGGAAATTTCCTGCGTGAACTGACCTGTCGGGAGGGAAGCTCCTCCTTTGTGCCTCTCTAGGCCCTCAACTGCTTTGTCTTGCCTGAAATGTGGACATGATGGTTGAATCTCCAGTCACCAACTGCCAGCATGGGCCATGAGACAATCTTCAGGATGGAAGACAGAAGAAGCTGTGATCTGCACTGACCTGGAGCCACCGTGCCAGTTGTGGGGAGCCTGCCTCGGGACGTCTTCCGGAGACACAAATAAACCGCTACCTGTGTGCATTGTTATTTGTCTTTTGCACTGAGCCCAATCCTTTTGAAATTAGTAGTCTTAATTTTATCTCCATGTACATGACCTTTACTGCAGGTAATCTTCCTCCTGCTCCCACAATCCTTCAAACCTTGAACCTGAGTCTCATTCTAAGTTTGTTGTGGGGGCTGGGGCATCAAATGTACACAAGACTATAGCAGTTAGCTTAGAAGCAGGGAATATGAGCACACTTTTTCATCAAATACTTTGCTTGTAGTCTTTATTGAGGATCTTTAATTAGCAATCCTGTTAAATAAAGGAGCAGTTAGGTTAAGGATAGAAACACTGCCTTACGTGTCCTGGACAGTACTGGATATCTTCAGTGAGGAGTGTCCTTCTGCTAAAGCTACAGATTCTAAGTACAACATAGTTTTAGTTCAGGCTACCAGAACAGAATACCTTAGACTTCCATGAAACCAATATAATTCTTGAGGTTCAAATCCAGGCATAGTGCTGGCATTGTCAGTATTATGGGTGGTGTGTTTCTTGTTTGCAGGAAACCACCATTTCCTTATGTGCCCACCTGGCAGTGAGCTGACAATGAGAAGATTGAGCTCTGTGGTGTCTCTTGTAAGGAAATAACCCTATCACAGTCCAACATGTAACTTCATCTCCCAGGTCCTATCTTGAAATATTCTGGGGGTTAATTTCTGTGTGCAATTTGAGTCTTGCATGAAGAAAGGAATATATCCAACAAGTCAATTTCCAGTGAAATTGGAGCTAGAAACTGGAACTAGAGCAAGTTAGGGAAATACACCCACTGACAGGTGCCAGTCTTGAAATTAATAATGGTTATGTCAAATATGTGTCAAATCTTGAAGTAGAAGAGAGTATTTCTCTTAAAACAGGAACAAATCAAGGATATTTTACCACCATTTCTCCAACCTATTTAGGCTGAGACTAAGAAACACAGTTACAAAATGAAAAGAAATATTAAGCTGTGAGGAAAACAGTTACAAGTGTTGTGTTTTACATAGAAAACAAAGGAATCTTGTTAGAAGGAAGCTGGAAGTAACGTCATTATACAGATCAATAGCAAGCAGCAGCAAAGCAAATTTTAACAAGATGCCCTATCAAGATTATTAGAAAAGTCTCCAAGTGAGTAGTATTTCTATAGAGAAATACTTTAATGAAGGCAAAAAATTGACATAACATTGGAAACATCAATACTATACAGATGTCAACCTTCATCAAATTGATGTTACTATCCTTGAATATTTTGGGGGGATCTGGACAAGTTGATTCTAAAGATAGGCAAATGTCCAAGTACAGGTTATCTACTCAACAGGCAGAATGAGTGGGGGATTTGTTCTGCCACTTGAAAAAACTTTCCTAGGCATTTCTAGTGATTTGTGACGTATGCTATGGCTGTAGGAATGAAATCAAACAGCAGTGCAAAATACAGAATGCAGAAACAAACCATGTGTATATATAGAAATGAAGGATGATAAAAGTGTTTAAAAGTGTATAATGCCTTGAGTAAGCTGTAGATTAAAGCTGTTAGGAAAATTTGTCATCCATAAGAAAAAAGTGATAGCAGCTCTTGTCATGCACAAGTCAAATTTTGTTACAGACTTATTTGTGAAAGGCAAAGTTTTACAAGGTTTGGGAGAAAATAAGGTAAATTGGAGGCATAGAAGTTTTATTAAAAAAACAACTAATTCGGCCCTCCCTGGCGGCGCAGCGGGTTAAAGCACAGCATCGAGAATCTAGAGCCACTTCCCCATGAGTTCGATTCCCGCCTGCCCCGGAGGTGACCACATGGCGTGGCAGACCTCTCCTGGCCCGCCCGCTGCTCCCCTCAGCGGTGTGCTTCGTCGATCTGCCTGTTCTGCTCCCCACTCTGTCTCTGGTGAATCCTATCACCTTCCACATCTCTGGCCTGTACCCTAATTCTGTATGAATAAAAAAAAAAAATCTTTAAAAAAAAAAAAAACCAACTAATTCATTTATATAGATTTGGTTGATCAGAAGTTACCAAACTAAAAATGGCAAGTCACAGACTGAAAAGAAGATAATTTGCAGTAGTATAATGGAAATGTAATTTAGTATATACACATGTAAAGGCCTACAAAACAATATGATCTATAATGTTGGGAGTCCTACAACAATAAGAAAACGACTGTAGGAAAATGGACATAGATGCGGCATGTCACAGGGAAGGAAATAATGATCCACTAATATATGGAAAAGTGATTGACCTCATCAATAATGGAGAATACCCAAAACTGCAGTGACATTTCCGTGTAAGCCTTCCATGATGGCAAATTTCAATACATTTGTGAGAACAAAGCACAATGGAGGATGTTGCACACCCAGGGGAACCATTGCACTTAATGGCGGGGAGGGTTGTATATCGGAACCTTGTTCTGAGAAAACATTTTGGCCCTGTAATGTTGAAATTTCACCCACTCTACCTTTAAAGTACCTGTTGTCCATATGGTTCAAGAAATATCTCCAAGGATGCCCATGGAACTAGCGTACATAATAGTATAATACTGAAAGTCAAAGTCATCGCCAAAAAATGGACATATACACGGTGGAATATTACACAGCTGTGTAAATGAGTGCTGTTGCTAAACAAGAATGCCCTTTAGGAACAGCACGTGGAGTGTGACCACTCAGAATGAATATGCATCTCATTATCCCCTTCAGGTCTATCCTCCAAGCTGGTGAAAAAAAAAAAAACTTTAGTTACAAAAGCAGAGCTGTCTGTGAGCCAGATGTTTTCAGAATCGTGTTGCCAAGCACTAACACCATTTTTGGGTTCTGTCCTGACTGAAATGTCCATCCAGTCATTTTAATAGATCACTAAAAATTCCTGATAATATAGCTTGTAAGGAAGAAGTTGGAGTCCTCTTATTCCTCCAAGAGGCACAACTGTTAGTTCTAGCCCAGGACCAAAGGCCATGATTGAGCTACTTTATGCCCTTAAATCTCCCATCAGGGTAACTTTGGTGGAGCCTCGTGGTGGAATTCGGGTCTAGTGTGCCTGCCTGAGCCCTCCCTCCTGAGAACTGAGACTTCACACTCTTTAAAAGAGATTCCGTATGACTCTGTTCTGGATGGCTCAGGACTCTACCCCCTTTGAAACCGAGCCCAGGGCTCCGTCTTCTCTGTCAAGCACATCTCTTCCTTCTCTGTGTGACACCAGACACTACTCTATTTGCATTTTAGCAAAGAGCTTCTGCGTTTCCATCATACTTGGAACATGATAATACGTGTCACCTGTGACGAGGACAGAATCATCTGGAAGAAGCAGGGGGAGTACACTACGCCACTCTCTACAGCAAACTCATTTGGGCAGACAAGTCACAGGTGCTGTGAAGCCATAAGCAGATTGAGAGAGAAATTTCAAACTGCAAGGAGATTGTGCATCAGCAGGAGGAAGGAAGATCAGGCCCGCAGGAGCGGACATGTCGGGTCCCCCGGAGTGCGTGTTCCTGCTTCTGTCTACCACTCAGTTCATTCTGGGGGTGCTGGGGAACGGCTTCATTGTGTGTGTCCACGGCCGCAGCTGGCTCCAGAGCAGGAGGATCCCTTTGTCTGACTTCATCGTCACTACTCTGGCTCTCTCCAGGATTATTTTGCTGTCTATTCTATTTTTTGATAGCGTGTTAGCGATATTCTCTTACAAAGTGCATAATGAAGGCATACTAATGCAAATTACCGATGTCTTCTGGACATTTACAAATCATCTGAGCATTTGGCTTGTCACCTGTCTCAATGCCCTCTACTGCCTGAGAATCGCCAGTTTCTCTCACCCCACATTCCTGTGGCTCAAGTGGAGAGTCTCCAGGTTGGTCGCATGGATGCTGCTGGGAGCCCTGCTCCTGTCGTGTGCCAGCACCATGTCCCTGATCCATGAATTTAAGCTCTACTCTATTTTGATTGGAATTGATGCCACAAGGAATATGACCGAGCACTTCAGAGCAAAAAGTGAATACAATGTGATCCATGTTCTTGGAACTTTGTGGAACGTCCCTCCCCTCGTCGTTTCTCTGACTTCCTGCTTCGTGCTCATCCTCTCCCTGGGGAGGCACACGCGGGAGATGCAACAGCATGGCAGCAACGCCGGGGACCCCAGCACCGAGGCCCACGAGAGGGCCATCAAAGTCATCCTCTCCTTCCTCTTTCTTTTCCTACTTTATTTTGTTACTTTTTTAATTGCATATTCTAGTCGCTTCCTACCAGGAAATAAAATGATTGGGTTGATTGGAGAAACAATGGCAATGTTCTATCCCACTGCCCACACATTTATTCTCATCCTGGGAAACAGTAAACTGAAGCAGGTGTTTGTGAATGTGATGTGGCGTAAGCCTCCTAATGGAACCAAGACGTCCTTCTCTCCCTAAAATGGCAGAGGGCACAAGAGGGTGCCTGGGAGTGCTTCAGCCTGCCCTGCGACTTCTGAGCTCCTCCTGATTCTGTGCTAGTACCAGTTCTAGAACATCAGTAAGGAAGAGATACCATGGTGTTGCCACCCCACTTAGACGCATTTCTCACGACTTCTCTCCAGAAGGTGGACTTGCAGGGGGAGAAACGGCTTGGAAAATGTCAACAGCGTTATAGTACTCTTTATACAGATGGAAACTACCAGCTCAGTATGTTGAACTAATAACTAGTTTGTTTTTTTTTTTTTAAAGATTTATTTATTTGTACATACAGAACTGAGGTACAGGTCAGAGGCTCAGGGGCAGTGAGAGGCTTCACCAGAGACAGAGTGGGGAGCAGAACAGGCAGATCAACGAAGTACACTACTGAGGGGAGCAGCGGGTGGGTCAGGATCAACGAAGTACACTGCTGAGGGGAACAGGAGAGGTCTGCCACGCCATGTGGTCACCTCCTGGGCAGGCGGGAATCGAACTCATGCGGAAGTGGCTTCAGCTTCTCAGTGCTGTGCTTTAACCTGCTGCACCACCAGGGAGGGCCGCTAATAACTAGTTTTAACTGCCTAGTTAGCTAGTTTAACTGTCTACATTGAAAAACTGTAACTAGAACACTACAGTAGGTTTGATGTAAATAGAAAAATCTGTAGTGATAGGACAATCTTGGTTTGAAGTAGAAGTCGTTCTATTCCTTTGCCAAAATTTTTGTAACTTGAGGAGTTACTTTAAATAATTAGTTACCTGTTTGTGCCTTTCTTTTCTTATGCTAACATGAGGTCGGTGACACGGACTTCACAAGGAATTAGGAATGTATGAAGCCACGCACACTGTGTGCAAGCCATTTAATGCAGAGTATTGTACGCAGCGCTCAGTTGGTGAAGCCATGGTGTAATTCAGTGCTGTAACAGCATTTCACACTGGATGCAGTTTCCAGAATTCCATCGTGTAATGTTAAAGATGTAGGATAAAATGGAGGCAGGTTCTAGCACAGCTTGGTGGTGAAGTCATTTTACTTCAGTAGCCCCCGTGTTCCCTTATCATCATGCTAAAGTGAATTTTGTAGTAATTTTTAATTTTTCAGGTGGAACAAGTATTTGCTAGTTGCTCCTGTTTATAGTTAGCCAGAAGCATATTTGCTTTTAAAATTTCAGTTTTATTGAAAAGTAAGGAGTTTTATAAATTTCGTCAGTTTTATTTTGATGAAATTATAGACCTTGATTCATTTCCTATATCTGAGCAGCAAGAATACTGTTGCTTCAGACCACGGTGGCGCCTCAGCCTTGTGAGCATGTGACCCCTGACCCGTGTGCCTAGCATTAACACGCCCGCAGGTATAGGTAGTTGTGGCGAAGTGTGTGGCCCCTGAACCAGACAGCCTGGGCCCACGCCCTGGCCCTAGTAAGGGCGGGTGGCCCTGGGGATGTTTCTAAACCTGTCTGTTTCACTTTCTTCATTTGTAAAATGGGAACAGTAGTAGCATTTTCACTGTTGGGAGGAATTAGTGAGGTCACGTGTAAGCTATGAATCCCACAGGCAGTAAATGCCCAGTAAATGTAGCTGCCATTGTTGTTAACTTGGGAATGGGACTGTGTTTGCCATCGCTTGAAGGGTCAACACACTACTTGGCATTTGGCCCTATGGAATCCCAAAGTAATTTCAGGATTGCTCTTGCATTTACATGTTCATTTCTAAAAATTATATGAATAAAATATCTTTTGGTCTATACTGTTTACTTTCAAACTAATGCTTGCTTCTTGAAATGGTTAGCAAAATTCCTAATTTTAACTAATCACTATTTCTGACAGAACATAACATTACAGTTTGAATGGTAATCTGTGGAAACCTAAAAGAATGATTCAGTATTTATTCAGAATTCACTAAAATACAGAGACTCTGAGCGGGCACTTCTATAGGTAGTAAAAGTATGTGCTTCTTTCCAGTACAGGGCAGTTTATGGAAATCCATGCAGTGTTAACTGACATCTGCTTTGCTACCCTGACCCCAGAATCTTTAAATTCATGTCCCCCACTCTTAAGGATGCACTCCACTTTTGTCACTTTAATAAGTTCTCTCTATCTATCTACTTTATCTCTGCCTACTGGTTCCTGTCTGTCCTTGTTTCTGCCTCCTAGTTTAGTTGTGGAGATTTTCCTGTCTTTTGTTTTGTAATATCTATTTATTCACACCAAAACTGGGGTACAGACCAGAGGTGCGGGGATGAGAGGATTCACCAGAGACAGAGCAGGGAGCAGAACAGGCTGATGTACTGAAACATACTGCTGAGGGGAGCAGCAGGAGACAGAAGAGGTCTCATGCACCCGTGGGTCAGCTCCCTGGCGGGGATTGAACTCATGCTCCAACGGCCCCAGATCACTTCACTGTGCTGCAGCTTTAACCCGCCGTGCCACCAGGGAGGGCCCGATTTTCCTATCTTTTAATTGAACATACACCATTAGAGATTTTGGCGTGGCTGTATTTTGGCTCTTGGTGCCTTTGGTTACATATGGGGAATCCCTCCTTTCTACTCCTACTGTGACCCCTAAGTCTACCCTGGCCCAGCAGCATCAGATTAAGTGCAGTGAGAATGCTGAATTTACCACTTCTGGTCAGGTCATGGAAGTCCAGTGTGCATGGAGAAGGTGGAACCCAGAGTGGGTTTGGTAGTTCTACTGACTAAAATAGGGCTACCTTCCCCAAAGTCAGTGAAGCTAGATTCACAGGTGTGGCCCCTGTTGCTGCTTCTGTCTCTCTTTATGCATGATTTGGAGCTTTCTCCAGGGAGATATGGGCTTGTGTGACCGGACATCTGTGGGCTGCCATTTGTGAGCGTTGGGCTGGCGGTGTCTGGTA